AGCGGTCTGGCTGAAAGCCTGGAATGCCCACCACATGTGATCCCTAGAAATAAATGACTTTCCCAACACCCTTCTCGAATTGCCCGGATATGGCCCTTGGTCCTTTGTGACTCCAAGAACTTGCCGTGCGTGACGGGTAGTAATGCGCTTTCATGCGATCCATCGCAATGAGTAGTTCACTACTGCTAATCTTCCTTACTTCCTTCGTATTTTTGGCGCGGTTCCAAATCAAGACAGAAAGAGCGCCAAAGAACAGATTTGCGACCACTCGCACAGAAACCGCCCGCAGCACGCGCTGTTAACGTGCTCACACGCTTACTCTGATGTTACTTCAGATGGACTGAATAGTCGATTGCTACCTCTAGTTGTAGTTGGATCAGTTACTGTAGCTTGGCGGAGTGAACCTAGAGAGATGACGAGGGAGTGGGAGGCAAAGGCGGGGAAAGTGCCACTTTCGCAGCAGTGAAGAACTCGTCGCCGGAAAAAAACCCAAGGGATAGAAGCGCAGCGAAAATTGCTTCAAAGTAGTCTTCCTCCTACTCCCTTCTCTACGAATGAAAGAAATTTTTTTCAGATATTGTGGAGAATTTGACAACAACGCTGCTGTAATGATAGTGAACAAGAACCTGGTATGTTTAGACTCCAAACAAAAAAGGTTCACCAACGCAGCATATGCCTGGTATCCTTTCCGTGACAGCGTGCCGATGTACAACTTAGGGCTTTCACTCTCCCAAATTTCGTACCAGATTACCGTCCTGGAGGACGATGATAGCCCGGACGATGGTAGCCTGGACAGCATTCGATCCGAGAGTTGATACCAGGACCGTGCCACATGTCGTCATCCCAATCTCGCCCTTGGCATCAGTAAGGCATCTGAATATCTTATCACCAAGATTGACCTAAATCAGTATGAGACGAATCAAGCGACGGTCCCCGGCAAACTGAACAAAGCAAGCACGATAGATAACCTGATGGGCTCAATCTTATGTTTTGTCAGGAATACACGTTCAAACCACAAAATTCACATCCGGAGTTTTGTCGAGCGCTGCGTCGCGGACTCAGCATCGGAATCGCCATTCAGAGTCGCCCGTCGGAACCTAGTCTGCCTGCACGTGACAATTTTTGGAATAGTAGCAACCAAGCCCACAGACCTAGATTTATGGTACCATAAATCCATCCCATGCGAGGCTCTCTGCCGCGGCTATAAAAATTCCACCGTATGTGCCCTAAACAAGGCTCTTTCGTGACCAATGCTCTGCGCTGCAAGGCAATAAATTATTCTTCAGCCTATAGAGAACAAGACCACGCTATTAGGCTGAAGTAATAGAACGAAATAATTCAAATCATTACGTCGTACACTTTCTAATCATAGTACGAAAAAACGAAATCTACTATGCACCTTTCAGGAATGTTCATTCCAAGTTCTTAAAGCCATGGACAATCCACCCAAAGTGAGAGCGCGTGCTAAACAACCAAATGCCCCACCTGATGACAAGCAGAAACGAAGAAATAAGAAATCGTCAAAGAACAACGTGTCAGTCCAGCAATAGAAATAAAGCGTCCATTACTATGGAATACATTCAAATTGCGGAAATCGCAAAACGGTTTCGATAATAAACTGATTATTTAAAATGCATAGTATACAAGCTGGAGTCAGGAAGAGAAACAGTTTTGTATTTTTGTCATATGATATTATTTATTAAATTGCAATCAGAGTCCTCGTAATTCGTAAGCGTATACACATTGAGGAAGATGAATCACAGTTAGCCGGTCGGGGTGCACATGAAGGCAATGATGACTAATGAACACAACGAAAACCCAAGAAAGGCGAAACCATAACAGATACCAGTAGCAAACAACCTTTAGAAAAGAATGCAGTGAAAAGACAATAACCCAGTCGATCACACATATTATTACTTGAACGTTAAATAGTAAACATCAAAAGCAGACTGTCTATTTCCCAAGTTCCCTCTTCAGAACTAGTTATAGTGAATGAGAACACATGCTCGCAATAATTAATCTTGTAAGAACATTTGATATGAAGGGCAGATATACAACAAAAATAACTTAGGTGATTAACTTTATAGAAAATAAAGATAAGAATGAAGAAATTCATCAAGATCACTGGTAAAACTCAGTCCATACAAACTTTTGTAGCGGTTCATCGACAACACATCGAGTCAATGTGAGATCGCCCTGAGTGGGTTTGTCCACTGTGAGGCAAGTACGCGAACGTGTGTAAATTATGTGGCCAGTCTCCTAAATGGATGAAAACGTAAACATTTTTCTCAGAATGGATTCCATGGGTCGAACAAGGTATTCTTAAAGCAATTTCATGGTTCACAAAACATCAGCATCAGATTTTTGAAATATTTCAATGCCGTCTTGGTAACATTCTTGGGGAGTCCCAATATGTAATTGGAAATTGGAGAAAAAACTAGACACATACGATGCACTTCACATAAACAAATTGATATATTACTCACCTCATCATAGGCCCAAGGTCCATTGACAGTTCCTTTCACACAGTGATTGGCCTCAACACGAACTCCTTTTGGTGTCAGACACCACTCTCCCTGCGCCAGTTGTCCTTCTGTGTTGAGTCGTATGAGCTGAAATGAATGAACATCCAAGTTATATCACAAATCCTCAGATTTGCGACCACCATGAAATAGTATTGGCACGGACACATATATGAGGCTGATCTGGCAGTGAGTTTAAAGAAGCAATCTCTAATTCACAATTAAAAATATTTTAATATATCATCTGACCACTCCTACATGGCTTATAATCAGCACAATCCGTTTTGGACACGAAATTTCGTTTATACGAAAAGCCAAATGGAGAGGTCGAATCAAATTCGGGGAGTGGGGCCTGTAACAATATGTACTGGGTTGGAGCATAATATCGTAGCGCTTGCATTTTTCATTTCTTCACACAAACATTTGAAGCAAAAAATAAAAACATAAAACTAATCAGTGATGTTCACTTCGTCATTATTTACAACTTTGATTGCATTTCGCAGGAGATCACCGGATATAGAAAAAAATATTGAGCTCGTTTTCGAAGTCTGATTATGAGTTAACTTATTGATAACTAATATTAAGGTTGTTAATAATCATTGAATCAAGAACAATATGGACATAGATAATTAATTGAAACTAAAAAATTTAAAAAATTAGAAAACATTCATGATAAGTTTCTTTATACAAATTAATTAACTAATTAATATCCTAAAAACAGTTTTTCCTTCCTTCCCCTTACTGATGAGCACAAAGGAAGGATACTCAATACGTCTAGTTTCCGTCTAAGGGCATGTGCGAAACGGAAACTAGACTACCTTGTTATCCAGACCCCTTATAAATTATACATTTATATTTACAAACTTAATCATTAAAATTTAAATTACTAAATTATTGAATAATAACAAAACTCTTTTATAAAGTCTACATTTCTGTTATTATTCTAAATTTGTGCGAATGAATATGGTTTTGAATTTGAGCGAAAAGGTAGGGTCGTTTAGAGCAAGGTTCGATTAGAACAATGGATTCAAAAGAACTTCCAATTTGGCGTTTTTTCTTCTTTATTTAAACCGAAGAATAGCAGCTGTCGAAACGCCGATTTTCGCCGTCTGGATTTTCCAACTTCTAAGCTCTATACCTGAGTACAGCTACAATTTGAAGAAAATGACAACTACGGTTTTGTAGAGCGGGAAGAGTACTTTCAAATAGTATGAGCGCATTTCGATGATTCTTGTACTGATTGACTGATTGAGTTTATAACTCGAAAAAAAAAACGCTACTATATTATGCTCCAACCCAATACAAAGCACACATGAGCGTATTTCTGCTCACAGCGAAGAGGGCATGACCAAAATGTGTTTTGTCAGCTCTGCGCGCTGGCGGACCTCTCAGATGCTGCTTACTAAGAAAGAAACGTCTCTTAGTTGCGAAGAACTAGGAAATAGAAAATAGGTGAGTAATGAGTAATGTTTAAGGTGGCTTAGAACTCAGGAAGAAAATCAGACGAATGATGACGCTATCATATCAAGTTGCCATCAGCTGCCGTTGCAACCCCTTCCACTTCTGAAACGTAGGTGGTGAAGAGTCCCCAAAGGTTCGAGAGCTCTTTCTCATCACCCTATAAGGCCTTGATAAGGCGCCACTACCCTGTAACACCATCTGTCGTCTCATTAGGTAAGCCTCCCTGGATCACTTCTTTAAGTGAATGATGTTTTCTACAAAAAATAATAATTCGATTCTAAGAGGGACTGGAGACAAAAAAAGCGAATATAGATTAGCCAGATTGGAGAAGTCAAAGTATCGGAACCGCAGCGGAAAAGTGAAAAGAAGTCATAAAGGGATGGTGGAGCGTAAAATTCTAATGATGTTAGGGTTTTTTACGCTTGTTTCACTGAAATGAAAGTAGAACTAAGAGCTCCGCTTGCTTTTTCCACATGGGTGGAGTACCGATTGATGCGCAACAGCGAGCAGATTCAGCTAGTATCCATTAGGTCATAATTTTTGCAACCAACCTGGCTGAATTTCAGTTCGATTTGTTTTTACATGTTTTATTCATTCGTCATAAAACACCATCATTATCTATTATCACTTCATTGTATGAACCACAACTTTGGCGTGTCGGTTTGTCGGTGCGTGTGTGACGTTCTGTCCGTCCGGACTAACCGCTAACAGAACCGGGAAGGTGTGCATCGCTTTCAAGACTATACTTCGATCCGGTATTGAAGTATTATTGCAACGTGAGTTGTGATAATACCCAACGGCTATATAAACACCTACTTAGTACACTTTCAGTCATTTCACAAGGTGCTGCAGTGGCAGCTGGAGAGCAGTGGGGGGAGGAGGGGAGGATAAGGTGAGAAGGAGGAACGCCAAGCTTTGCAGGGAAGGGAGGGTCCGGCGGTTGCCGGGGGACCAATCTGGTACATCATATTGCGAACGCAAGGGCAGCGTTCGATGCCACCCTTCTAGAACACTACTGAATTCTGATCGAAGAAAAATAGATGTCGATTTTGACATCATCATAGTTAGGATGAGATTTTTTTTCTCTAGGAGATGGTCTTGGAGAGAGAAGCAGATGAGCATCCTCCTGCACGAGGTCGGGCTACAAGGCGGATGTGGAAGAATTTCTATACGAAGGTCCTAGAATTTTCGTGGATTTTCTCATTAATGGGTGATTCCACAGTGTCGTAAAAAAAGATTTTGTCCTGCTTTCGATTCTTATTGAAAGAGTTGCAATCGAGCTGTGGACGGATGACTTCCAAGCTGTCAATGACATCAGACCGTAGGGGTTTCTTTCGTGTTCCACCAAAAATCCGGGAGACATGGACGAGGTTTACCTCCAGCAGTCAAAACCTCCAAATCGTTTGAGCTGGACTACCGCCGCTCGATGTTTGTTAGCATACTGCATCCTTTCCAAACCACCGAAAGATATGCTAGATGGTCAATCGAAGAAACCCCAGTACGTCAACTCGAACACGACGATGTCAGGTCGTGTTTGGGGCAAGCTCGGACTCAAAACATAGGTGATCCAAACTCTGCTTTCTCGATCTTGGAAAAAGAGTTCGGAGACGTCTCAGCACTGTCACTTTGTCGATCCGTCTGCTCTGGCAAATGATCGATAATCTTTATCTTTTTAATTTAAGAGAATTTTTTAGACAGGTTCAGGTAGAGCACTGTGGTTGCCAATCTCGGGGTGGTTGGTGTGTGGGCCAAATCCAGATAAAAGAAGCCAAAGCTGAGCAGGGTGTAGCGCCGGTGCATCATGGTATGAAAGAGCATGTCCTCGCCTATTTTCTGGCTTATCCTTGCTGTAGCCTAACTTGTAAAAGATCCCAAGCGGTACTCATGAAATTTAAGAGCAGATGCTTTTCGCGAAATTAGTGTGGTAGCCACAGCTGGTAGCGAGACATTGAGCTAGTCGGTTGACCGAAATTGCAAAAGTAGATGCTACGACATTAATCATGTTGAAAAATTTTCTGATTTTTTTGAAAAATTTCCTAGCATTAAATGTAATTCGTTTCAGAAATTAAGGACCAACCTAATATATGTGAACAATCACAAATACACGTTCCAAGACTTGAGCCCGCAATCCTTCTTACCCAGCTTACCAAGCTACCTCTTACCAAGCTTGAGGGAACCTATTAACTTCCTAATAAAAATGCTTCCTCTCTTCCTGCCGTATTTGCAGGAAGTATTTCTGAACGACTTATCTTCGGAACGAAAGTTTTTGAGCTAAAAAAAGACACACCTGGTTACCACCAAAACCATGGCAGGCGTTGATCCCAAGCGGACCAGGGATACCACCCATTTCTGTCCAAGCACTTGCCTAACGAAAAATGAGACATCAAACACATATTGTAAGAAAAAAGATAGTGATACAATGAAACACGAATCAAATTACTACTGAGCAAAGCAATACCTTGGAAACGCAACGTTCAAGGCGAAAAAAATCTCCAGAAACAGCTTTCTCATTCAAATACGCAATACATTTTCACAAGGAATGTAACCTAAACAAGGAATGGCTGTTCACCTGTCGTGGGATTTTCGAGCCTACCCAAACTTTATTTTTGGGAGGTATCGGATAACTGGGCAAAACATCGTTACGCCACCTTCTCCATGTACCTAATAGAAGAATCAAATCTTGAACATATGAAATTACTCGCAATCGTATGCAAGTACAGAAGAAGAAAAATTCACCACTTGAAGGGTTTGCAATGCAAGCGTTCCTTCAGAGCCAACTGCGCACTGATATCTCCTGGATCCACACGCTGTGCTTGAGGTTCACGGATGAAGTAATACTCTGCATACTCATCCATCCACGTTCGAATCACTCTCAACATATTCTGAAGTTGTTGAACATCATGCATATAGCAGCATATGGTATAAATAACGGAAGTGCGTAATTTATTTTTTGTAGCTAAGATGGCCGTTTGATAACGTCGCCATTTCAAAAGAAGTGTGCAACAATGTCATAACAATGCAACAGACAAAATGAAACTCAGCCTTACAGTAGCGATAATGGGTGGCCGGAGGCTTCTCCAACAGAGTTAGGGGGATGCGATCGGTATACACGTGTCCACATGAGAGCACGGCACAAACAATATACCCTCCGCCACACTGCCAAATCTAAAAAAAATCAGCATGGAAAACCGGCCAAAATATAGTATCACTGAAACAATTTCGTCAAAATCACTGATCGTAAGGATATTATCACTCCTAACCAGACTCGCTCCTCTCACAATGTAGACGAACCAGTTCTTCATAGGAAAACCAATCTTTCTAATCGCTTCCACACCACACATTCCGAGATTACGGTTGGAGTTACTATTTGAGAATTCGGAAATAGTTGAGGATCAGGACGAGGTCATAAGGAGCAATACTCGCTAGACTCTCGTCATCAGATAGTGAGGTGATCCTACTCTCACGAATAGAGAAAGAGACAAAACTGAATTCGAAGTAATTTTTAGCGTCGTCGCAATTTCGCACACCAATGTTGTCGGTGAGAAGCCTTCTGGTTAACTTGAATGACCTATTAGGCTGTTTGTCAGGAATTAATGCGGGTTTTTGATCCTCCGTCTTGAAAAGCAATATACCTCAGCTCAAACTCAACATTATCAGTAATTTAAAAAAAAGTATTGGAAACTACGCTTTTCTCAACAAAAAGCATGCTGAATTGATGCTATAGAAATCGTAGAAGTGCGGATACGGGCAGGTCTTCCCCCATGTCTCTGCTTTCAATTTTTTTTCCGCCCAAAAGCTGTCGAGACAGCTGGAAAACTGGAATTTGGTGAGAGTGAGATCCTGTGAGTGCACAACGAAAAACAAAGCTAGATAGGTTGATTCGTCTTTTTCTTACGAGGCCGTAAGAGCTACATGTCGATGGGCGTCAAACATGGAGCATGGTTCGTTTCCTACTCCTGGTTGGAGTCCTTGCCTTTTACGGTGCATCATGTCGGTTTATGGACAAACGTTGATGCTCTATCAAGCTACCTGAGTTAAGAAAGCTGTGATGCATCATTACTCCAGAAGGCCGTGTAACAGTTAACGTGGTCCTCACCTTGTGGAATTTCTACTTTGGAAGAAGTTTTTGATGTCCGTTTGTTAAGATTTTTGGAAATTGCTCTAGGCTGTAGCAAGAACCCTATTTCCGTCGAGGATGACAAAATGTTCCAGAGTCGGATATTTTTGTTGGGTAGTAAAAAGTTGTGACATGATCCCTGAAAGAGGTGACTTTGATGCTGCTTAGTCAGCCCATGCGGTACCCACTTGTCCAGCTTCCTACATCCCATGTACCTCAAGGTCCAAGAATTTTGGCACGCTTGCTCAAGGTTATGCTGCTGTCCGTCGTACACTTGCTTGGAGACACCGGGTCTTCAGAAGGCTGCTGTCAGAAGGAGAATGTCGTCCGTAGCCTCCTTCCCTTGCCTTCGAATCTAGAGTTACCTATATTGAAAGCATCGACGCTCCCGTTGGGTGTGCCACTGTAACATCCTTAGCCTCACACAGCAATCCTATTCCGAGCTGTCTGCACAGCACCCTCTCCAAATATCAACTCACAGGAGTGAACTTGCTCAAACCACTGCTTTGACGTCTTCGACTCAAACCTTAAGTAAAAAAAGGAGGCTCGAGTCTTTTCAAATTACAACAACAGTGTCAGAAAGCGTGGCAAAATAAACGGCTTCTTAAAGACGTGCTAACAGTGATAGGCATATCATCTTTCTTACTCGGAAAGAAAGTGACTTTCAAAAAAATTATTGGCTAATTAATGCGTACATCGTGAATGGTACAGAATGGTACATCAAAACCCGCATGAATTTCTGGAAAACATAATACATGGAAAAGCGATGAGCTTAGCACTTTCAATGCAAATGCTTCGCCCATGTAAAACACATGGCGCATAGGAACCTTGCTATAGCCAAAAAATGACTCGACTTCCGATCCGAGTCGACTTCTTTACTGCAATGTTCGCTAAGTAATGTTTCGCAGCTCAATATGCGCCACTGGTTCAAAATCTCTACTTTTTCTATCTTTCTAGAAGAAAGTTAGTACCTTGAAGCTCAATTCATACTGTTCACCGCCCCAAATTTGAAGACCTTCGTCATAATATCCAAGCTCTTGGAACCAAAGCCGATCAATAGCGAAGAGACCACACCGGCGTGTGTTGGTGAACTAGATGATACAATTGAAATGTAACGGTAGAGAATAATAGTGCATTGGCGTAGCTAGGGTAAAAATGACTTACCGGAATGGCATACTATTATGAGGTCGACTATTTCTTTCAGCTGCAGTAATGGCTGTTTCTTTGTAGAGAAGGCCCCATTCGAATATTCCGCTTGAAACAATATATTCGGAAAATATACATGACAATTCAAGTGACCACTGTTAAAGTAGAAACCTTCACTGGGAAAAAATTACGATGCGCTTCATAAAATTGCAAGCACCTCTCCTAGGGAAAACATACCTGAAATGACGATCTGCTTGGCCATAAACACTGCGATACTCCCATGTGTTTGCGTCGATTCCATCAATGACCGGTACTGTCATGACTCGCCTTTAATACTGTGGTTTAAAATGAAAGAATGATCTGCGGAAAAAGGTCCCATAAGTTAACGAATTCTCGTAATTTGAGAGCAGTTAAGTTGTAAAAAGTAGGAGTTTTCTGATGACGTCACACTATAATTGCTTACTGTTAGTGACGTAAGAAAAAACAAACGACTATTCTCACCTATTGTGTTTGATCGGAGCCAACAAAGGCGGCAGCCAGTTCACATTCACTTCACAATGAGCATCAAGAAAAATGACCACATCAGCCGTTGAATGTTTTGCTCCGATCGTTCTAGCACGAATCAGTCCTTCGCGATCGTCCGTTCGAACCAATTTCACCTTCACAGACATAAGCAGTAAAACAACTTTTTTAGGTACATCTCCACTCATTTATTTGAGCCATGAGGGTGCTCCTAAGCTTTTTTGGGTGGGGGAGGGAGGCAGGGCGGGGTAGGAGAACTTCTGGTCCTTTCCCTACGCTTAACACACTATTTATTACTCAACTGTATCAGGAATACAAGTAAAATTTCCTTGAGATTGCGAAACCAGAATATGAAAGCAGGCGTAAGTTTAAGATCACCCACCTTGCCATTAAATCGCTTTATGTATTTTTCCAATTTTTCTTTCAGGTGCTCTGAAAATATGAGATTAAATAATGAGTAACGAATGTAAGTGTAATATATGTAGCACATATAAACAACGAAATACTCACAAACCTTTATCAGAATAATCATCAACCATCACTACCTCTTTGATCAGTTGAGGAGGTGAGCGAAGTAATACAGAATGCACAGTTCTCAGCAGCGGAGTCCAACCTTCATTGTGAAAAACAATGACGACGGACACCGTTGGTAGCACCTCAGGATAATTCCAATGTTTGCATCTGAAATGACGCTAGGCTGCAGTGACTACGAAACGAAGAAGAAAAAAAAACAGATTCAGAGTATCGCGACCTGTGAGCAACACATACTGGGTTTAAGAGGCAGCGAAGCTATGGTCCAGATTGAAAGCGCTTGGGTTGGAATTCAACTAGTGAGTCGGAAATGAAGAATACTGAAGAAGGCAAGATTTACGGGAAAGGCGATGGTGGACAAAAAGACATCTTGCCCATAAAACCACGACGATGGTTGCATCTCTTAGGCTGGTGTCAGAGTCCGCGATCCGTCGCAGGTTTCGCTGATTTTCGCGATTCACGAGATTTGCGATTTGCGCGAAAACTGCGATCGCAAAAATTGCAAGTGTGTGAACATTTGAAACACTGAATATGAAACAAGTGGAATCATGAGCAGTCGTCATTCAGCCATCACTATCAAGAGAGAGGTGACGGAGGATTGGAGAACACCTTGCAGTATTGATCGGGCACTTGTGATTTCCGTGACCTGTCGCCTATGTGGAATCGCGCAATCGCGTGGATCGCGTGAATCGCGAAAATCAGCAAAACCTGAGACGGATCGCGGACTCAGACACCAGCCTTAGATAGACGAGGTAGATATGCTGAAGCAAGCCATGTCATAAAACTACGCACTATTTCGTGCGAGCTCAAAGGGTTTTGTATGTTGCAGCCTTGAAAAGCTGATAAATTTCTCATTATTCATGTAGGAAACCGTAGAGAACCGTTGTAACAGAAACAGAATCCGAAAAAATGATAATTCCGAAGAAAGATATCAACGAAGTCGATACGCAAATCAGGAAATTCAAAATTTCTCACGATTGGAAACGAGGCAGCAAAAAAAAAAAAAAAAAAAAAAAAAGGCGCAAGGAACAAACCGAACCGAGAATATCGCATCAGCTTACGCTGAAGATATCAGGTTACATTGCCGTATAGTAAATGTAACATTCAAATACATCAAGGCAGACAGATGCAAAAAAAACAAACAAAAAAAGTAAAATGATACGATCGAATACTCAAGATAGTGATGGCATATCTCGCCGAGGTTTGCCGCGGGCACCCCAATCGTGGAGGAAAGTGGGGGAGCTACGAGTCAGCGAAACACCCAACCACGAATGAATCAAGACGAAAAACAAAAAAGAAAAAAAAAAAAAAAAAAAAAAAAAAAAAAAAAAAAAAAAAAAAAAAAAAAAAAAAAAAAAAAAAAAATAAAAAAAAAAATAAAAAAAAAAAATAAGAAAAAAAAAAAAAAAAAATCAAATAAAAAAACAAATATCCGATATCTAAAATACAGAATCGACGAAAAGTCGCAAAATATAATAAAAAGATAATTAGGCAAAAATGACTAATGCAAAAGGAACAGAGAATTATGGAAGTCAGAAAAAAAAAAAAAAAAAAAAAAAAAAATAACGTTTTGGAAAGTCTCACCGCAACAAAGGTTCAGGTAGCATAAGTAATCTGGCCCAGAAGCAAGAATGAAACACTTTGTATTCTGCGCGATGCGACGATACACTATGTTGATCATCTGGAAGGAGAAAACGGTAGTTAGACCGACGTCATAGTCGGCGACGGACCAAGCGATGGAGCGATCGCGATCGCTCCATCGCTTGTCCGTCGCTTGCCAATCGCTCGGTCGAGCGATTGGCACGCGATTGCGCAATCGCTTGCAAAGTGCACAAGCGACGGGCGATTGGCCCCGCCCCCAGTCGATGCAGTCGGCTGCGGTATCGATCGAGCAGAGCCATCGCCCGTCGCTTGTGCACTTTGCAAGCGATTGCGCAATCGCTTGCCAATCGCTCGACCGAGAGCGATTGGCAAGCGACGGACAAGCGATGGAGCGATCGCGATCGCTCCATCGCTTGGTCCGTCGCCGACTATGACGTCGGTCTAACAGTGCCGTTGCCACTACATCATTTCGGCCTGGTCGACAGTGGGCAGAGGATATTTGTGTGGGCTGCGACTTCTGCTAAAGGAAATCGACCTGGTGTTTCAAAGTCTGCATTAGAGATGGGCAGTAAGTATGTACATCTAAGATCCGATGACGCCTTTTTCTCAGTCATCGTTTCCTTGACGTAGCAACCAGTATTCGCGTATTGTCAGTAGTAGTATCGTAGCTGCTTAGTGTTTCAGCAGAACTGCGCACTAGCGTCTTCGGGAAGCGATTACCTCCCAGAATCGGAGTATAAATTAATACGTTGGAGACCGCGCATGTTTCCCGTTTTTCGGCGGGACTTCAGTGAAATTTCTAGAAATGTTATCAAGCAAATTGAGAAGAAAATTCTACTGAGTAGCACAGAAGAATCCTTATCGAATGCAAAGGAAAAGAAAGCAAAAGAAAAACTTGCATTTGTTTCCGAAATGAGCTGAAAGGCCCTACGCGGTCGACGGACTGCAGCCCACATATGGGCTGCATGGGTGCCAAGGTGTTAAGAGTAAAAATAGCGGCATTCTGTAGCGCAGATCACCTCACCACATCCCTCCATATTACCGGGGATGGACAAAGCTCAGAAGGAGTCTGCACTCGATAAAAACATCAAAGATTTCGTGGAGTTCAGAAGTCAAATTGTGGTCATATGACAGGACCATCTACTGTCTTTCGTGATAGCGCCATTAATGAATTGGCTGATAGTTTGCAGTGCGCTATTCAACTGGCAGATGCGAAGATCAAATACGAGTTTAGCAGAGTTTTCTGGTGTGACGTAAATTTTGAGTGAGAGGGAGGCGACTTTTCTGTTACCCCCCCCCCTTCGCCCTGCCGTGTTGAAATAATTGAACTAGTAGCCTACATTTTCTCTCACAAAAACCCACACAAATTAATAGGACTAGAGAACTTACTCTTCCATTCGTATATCAGGAATAGTGCGATTCATGGAGATCATGTCACTGACATACGTGTTGAATCCATACTCTTGTTCAGCTCGTTTCGACTCTCGCAAGCCATTCTGATCACTAATAATCACCGGTGCACCGCCCTCACCTGAACTCACACAATAAGAATATAGAAAAAGTGCGCCAACATTATGTTCCCGAAGCAAGATTAGGATCACGGTGCATTTTCACTCCTGCAGCTTATCTTTTGATAGTTGTGAGGTGCAGACACTTTTGATTCAGAACCTACACCAGAATTACTTGTGATGGTTCGAGGGCGTGGGAGAGACTAAAAACTACCGCGGAGAAAAGGCCACGTTCCAGTGGTAGTAGCCATTTATTAAAGGAAGCAGTCACGATAATTTTCATGGCAACGATAAGGAAAGCTATGTATTGGAGTGGATAGAGGTCCTGCCCAATGTTAGAACACGTAAAGTTTCAGTGGCAGTGGCCCCTTATCAATGAAGTGATAAGGAGCCGAAATTCACTCAAGTTCAGCAAAACCAAGACTTATCGATGTGGAAAGGGGTGCGATAAGAGCGTGCTAGATATGATACCGTTATCGTTATCGTCCGTTTTCATTCTGGAGTGCACCTCTTATCAAGCAGCCGCACCTTCTTATCTCATCGTATCATATCTTCCATGGGCTTACACTCGTCCAACAATTACTGCCTCACACCTTATCGATTGACCAGATTAGTCCCCCGTCAACCGCCGGGACCTTCCTTTCCTGCGCAAGCTTTCTATCCTCCGCTATGGTCCCTTCCTCCTGTGACACACCAACACCTCCTGGAAGTGACGCGTATGCAACACAATGGTGTTTCATACAGTAGAAGGGACACAATCATGATATGACGGTAGATTTTTCGCTTCCCTTCCTCATCCTCCCTTCCTCTCTCCACTGCCCTCCAGCTGCCACTGCAGCACCATGTGGAATGAACGGAAGTGTGCTAAGCAGGTGTTTATATAGCCCTAAGAGTGTTATCACAACTATCCTGCTACAAAACATTGATATCTCAAATCCTGTAAGCTACCCGATTTGTTAGCGGTTTGTTTATCCCATGAGCTTCCTTCTCACTCACTTCATTTTGCGGACGGACACACATACATACATACACACACACACACATACAGATACACAAACCGACACACAAAGTTAGCGCTTTATAAAATAGAAGGATAACGCAGGATAGCAAATCCAGCGTGGAAGCCAGCGTGACTGCTTCCTTTAAAAGACATGAAAAGAAAGGGTAAATATGAATATAACACATGCTCCAGTGGCCATTACTGGCGATTACGTGTTTCTTCTTCGCTATTGCGAACCGCTAGCAAGCTGCACCCATGCCACCCATTTTTCGCCATATGTGACTTCTTATTTTTATTTTTGGCATTTGTTCTGAGTAGCATTATTCATGACTACAAACAACATGATTCACAGAATGGTCAACTACGCTTTAATCTGGAAAATATTTTTGAACCGTACGAAGATTTCAGCTCGGTATCCTTCGTTTTCCTTTATTTCCATAAACATGTAAAAAAAAAGGATGTTGTAAAAGGATAGTAAGGATGGTATGTGTTTTTACTACCACAGACCACCACGGCAGAAATGCTTTTTTCCACTGCAGTAAAATTAATAATTCTTTGTAGCCATTAAACGTTACTTTGGCCAAAATTTTACAGATATACCTCTAGACAATTGCATCGCATTCAGCAGTGAGAATGTAACATTTATGTTCTGGTAAATTCATGAGGTGACGCGGCCGCGCTGGCAAAGCAAAACACGTATTGTTGCCTATGTTTAACAAAGGATTTAGGCCCCCACTGAGTAATGACGTGGGTCACTAGCTGTTGGTCGCTGGCGAGGTCGCAAACTCTGAAATGCTGTAAGATCTGCCCCATGCATTGATAAAGGGGAACTCTTGGCGCAGCGCACGTCAAGTGAACTAATCTCCTACGGAACCAGGAATGACCCACAAAAGGAAACAAAAAGAAGGTTGCACTTTCAAATCGATGTTCGCTTCTCTGCACTTCTAAACTTCCAACGCAGAACACTTCACGGAGATAAGTTATAACTTGATTGTTCTAACGGAATCCAATGAAGCATACCGCGAGAGTCGTGGGAATGACAAAATTCGTGTAACCACATCAAGTGAAAGTGTATTTAAGGGGATGTCGAGAGACAGTTGCTCATCCTGGTAGCAGTAGTCCCATTTTTGCAGGGTGAGGAAGTACAGGGATGGGCGAGCCGAGTGCTTATGCAAGAAGGGAACTAAGTGAGTACGAAATGGAAATGTTTGCAAGGTTTCAAATTCCTTGTTGGGTACCTGCGTCGCGGTGTTCCAACTATTCGTTCACTAGCGCCTATTGCGCCCAGCACGGCTTGAAAATGATCCAAAAGTAATCCCACCTAACGTACAGTCGATATCCGAAAGTTGGGGTAGGCGTGTCACCGGAAGTGACGTGCACTTGATAGAAGTTGCGTGGATAAGCTGTTGCCAGCATGCTTTGCTGATATCCAGCGATGTATGTTGGAAGCAGCTTATCCACATAGCTTCTATCAATCCCGTGAAGCGTGGAAGGATAGTGAGTTGGCTGGAAGTGTGGATCCAAACACAGTTTTTGTTGGTGAAGAACTAGGCAATTATGAACCCAAGACACCGGAGATGCCTTCCAACCAGCCGGGTAAATGATTTCTATTTGTTAAAGTGCCAATGTTTTTAGGCTTTTTTCACTACGGATTTTTTTTTCTGTAATTATACTCGATATCCGGTAATTGGGGTAGGTGTGTCACTGGAAGTGACCTGCTTTTGATAGAAGCTAAGTGGATAAGCTGCTTCTAACATACATTGCTGGATAACTCAAAGCATGCTGGCGACAGCTTATCCACGCAACTTCTGTGAAGTGCATGTCTCTTCCGGTGACACGCCTACCCCAACTTTCGGATATCGACTGCACGTTAGGTGGGATTACTTTTGGATAATTTTCAAGCCGTGCTGGGCGCAATAGGCGCTAGTGAACGAGTAGTTGGAACACCGCGACGCAGGTACCCAACAAGGAATTTGAAACCTTGCAAACATTTCCATTTCGTACTCACTTAGTTCCCTTCTTGCATAAGCACTCGGCTCGCCCATCCCTGTACTTCCT